TGATTTGAACCTAAGACCTCTTAGATAACTCTTCACAAATGGTCATGTTGAAACCATTCAAACATTGCTTCATCCAATCAATTGATACAAGTTTTTTCTATAAATAAGGATATTGTACAAACTGAAAATGGACACGAAAACAACATGTTTTATGAGGCAAAAAATTATATCTTAATCATTCTTTTATTTTTTTAGTGCACAAGAATAAATTATGAAACTTTATTCTGTAAAATATTATTGATCGATATGTTTAATGTGAAAGTATGATTTATGTTAAGGTTTCTAAAGTATCTTGAAGGAAATTCACAAGTTTATCCATTTACATCAAATTTGGCTATATTGGTGGAGACAACTCAAAACTAAAACATAGTGTAAACACACATTTTAAAATTTATTTTATGCAACTTTTATTATATCATTATCATCTTCTTCCTATTCATGTTTTATAGCAATCCCCTAACACAAAACCTAACACTCTTCACACTCTTTTTTTTCTCTCTTGAATTTCTAGAATCCTTTCTTCCATTTATACTAATTGAGCTTTTCGAGTATTTATTGTAATTCTCTTTCGAGAATTACTTGTCTTTTAAAAAATTTCTCCTCATTAAAAAAAAAATTACAAATGGTCTAACACTATTTGACGGTGTTGTTTCATTTCAGTGGCATAAATTAGTTTTTAAATCTTTTTTAAATTCAAAAACAAAATCACTGACAGAGTCTCTAAAGTTTCATTTAGAATACTTATTTATTTTTACTGTATTATACATTTAGGGGGTGAAAATAGGCTGGACCGAGCTAGGTTTTGTTAAGTCTAAGTCTGGTCTGCTAAAAAAATTGAAGTCTAAGTCTGACTTGTAGTCTGTCATAGACTTATTTTTAGGCCTGAGTCTGGACTTTTCTAAGGTCTGTCTAGCCTATTAGCCTACATAAAAACATGTTATTTTAAATAGACTAACGAACTAAAAAATCAATGAGACTAAAAATTTGTTTAAATTAACTTATTTTAACTTACCTATTAATATAAGTTTTATGAGATTATTTGTTTAAGATAACTTATGAAAATACCTTATAACATTGTTCATAAAGTGTTTTCATTTTATTTTCATAAGTTCTTCAAAATAACCAATTTTTATTTATGTATTTTAATTCAAAGTACAAAATATAACATAATGATATTAAAAAAATATATTCATATTTATTTAAATAGGTCGGCCTGTTAGGCTTAAAAGATTTTTTTCATGGCTTGAGGTCTAATATTTTTAACTAAATAAACTTATTAAAAAACCTAGACCTTTTCTATTTAAAAAATAAACTTGGTTTAACATGAGCCTACGTAGGTTAGACCCTAAACTGCCCTGACCTATTTACAGTCTTAGGTACATTCAATCAAGAAATACTTGAATAAGAACACATATATGTTTATATTGTTAGAAACAACCAATAGAAAGAAAGGATAAATTTAATTTCGTTTTTAATTGGAATAATGAGGTGGTGGTTATTAGGCAAAAAAAAAAAATTAATTAATTAAAAAAAAATGATTGATTGTTTCTAAAAATATTTGTTAGATTCGAGTCTATACAAGTATTTGTGCATGCAATCTTTATTCTCTATTTCTTAAATTTATGTAATGTTATACATGAAATCTCTATTCTCTATTTCTTAAATTTATATCTCTCATTCTCTTCTTTCAATGGACTGTTGTTGTACACGTGCTAAAAAGCTGGCAAATAATCTTCCAAGCAAAGATTTTTTTTCCTTCATATTTTCACAATGATAAAATAGGTGCAAATAGAAAAAGAAAAGCAAAGAGTAATAATAATGTATACTATAATAAGAAAGTGCAACGAGAGAAAGGGACACAGAAGGAAGAATGTAAGCAACGGAAAATAAGAAATGTGAGAAAATCAATACTGAGTTTGATCCTCATGCTATTATTACTTTCAAGTTGCTCTTAACCATAAATTTCAACAACAACAAAAAGTTGCTCTTAACTATAACTATACGCCAACAAGTCACAAAGCCACAAACCCAAAGTCAAAAAAATATGAACTTCCAGATTTTCACTCACAAGATGTTCGTTCCATTACACCAACTTTTCACTCAAAGCAGTGGCTTAGCTTCAATTTCATCTTTCACAGGCATGTCACACTTCTCTTTTCATTTCTCATGAGGTGCATGTGTCCTTCCCATTACACACATATAAAAACAACACCAACATAATTAAAGCTGGTAACCCAAATTGAGCTAGCTCAAGCATACAATACTATAGCCAGAAATACTAATGGACAAGAAACCTACAAATTATTTTCAAACTCATTTTATGGACATACATGAAGAAGTTTTATCAGAAGGAGACGAAGAAGGAACGATAAAAAACGAGGAAAGGGAAGAGAAGTACTTGAATAAAACAACAAAACCTCGAGAACCGAAGAGAAACCGTGGAAGACTTAACAGACAAGTTTCTCTTGAGACGGGTTTTTCTGTTCTGAACAGAGAAAGAAAAGGTAAAGATGAGAGGAAGGTTCTTACAAGAAGTGGAACTAGCTTAGGAGGTTTGAATCCTGCAAATAAGATTGGTCTGGAAGGACAGAAAAGAGATTTCAGTATCTTTAAGACGAAATCCACTCTCAGTAAACAGAATTCTTTGTTGCCGAGAAAAATCGAGAAGGAATTGGAGTCTCAGAAGATTAATGGCACTTCTGGTGTGGATAATGATTCCGTTAATGCAAGTGTTCCTGCTGGTAGATACTTTGCTGCTCTTAGAGGACCTGAGTTAGATGAAGTCAAGGTGAGACATTGCTACCTAAGTTCTACAGTTTTACCTTAAAGTTGCATGAATGCAAGCATGTTAGCTAGATATATGCTATATATCTTTCCAAAGACTCGATCACAGTTTAAAATTAATGCGATTTTAAAATGATGTTTAAGAGAACAGTTGATCAGATATTTTTATTTTTAAAATCATTTTAAAATATGTAAAAATGATCAATTATAATGTTGTGCATACATTTGACACAGGACTATGAGGACATCCTTCTCCCCACAGATGAGCAGTGGCCCTTTCTCCTTCGGTTTCCTATAGGATGTTTTGGTATCTGTCTTGGCCTAAGCAGTCAAGCAGTTTTATGGCAGAACCTGGCAACAAGTCCTGCCACAAGGTTTCTTCATATTACACCAAATATCAGTTTTCTAATATGGTTGTTAGCCTTAGCAGTGCTAATAGCTGTTTCCATTACCTACATTCTCAAATGCATATTCTACTTTGAAGCAGTCAGAAGAGAGTATTTCCATCCGGTTCGTATCAACTTCTTCTTTGCCCCTTGGGTTGTCTGCATGTTTTTAGCCATCTCTGTACCCTCTAAACTAGCCCCACAACAAACCCTTCACCCTGCCATTTGGTGCACTTTCATAGCACCTTATTTTCTTCTTGAACTCAAAATCTATGGCCAGTGGCTTTCTGGAGGCAAAAGGCGTCTATCTAAGGTTGCGAATCCCTCTAACCATCTCTCTGTATCTGGTAACTTTGTTGGAGCAGTTTTAGCTTCAAAAGTGGGTTGGAAAGAACCTGCCAAATTCTTTTGGGCTGTTGGTTTTGCACATTACCTTGTCGTGTTTGTTACACTGTATCAGAGACTGCCAACAAGTGAGGCGTTGCCTAAAGAGCTACATCCTGTGTACTCTATGTTTATTGCAGCTCCCTCCGCGGCTTGTATTGCCTGGCAGAGTATCTATGGAGAGTTTGATGGGATATCCAGAAATTGCTATTTCATCGCCTTGTTTCTCTACATTTCACTTGTTGTCCGGATCAAATTTTTCACTGGTTTTAGGTACAATCTTGTCTCTATCAAAATATAATACAACTTTGGTTCAATAATCTAGGTTTAGGGTTTTAAGGTGCTACGGAATTTAACTTTGTATCTTTTTATGGACAGGTTTTCAGTGGCGTGGTGGGCTTATACCTTTCCCATGACAACTGTCTCAGTGGCAACCATCAAGTATGCAGAGGAGGTCCCTGCCTTCATTAGTAAGAGTCTTGCTCTTGGACTTGCATTTATGTCATCAACTATGGTCTCTGTTTTGTTTGTGTCCACTCTCCTGCATGCTTTCTATTGGCGCACCTTGTTCCCAAATGATCTTGCTATTGCCATAACGAAGAGGAAGCAAGGCGGAGAGAAGAAACCCTTGAAGAAGGCCTATGACATTAAGCGTTGGACAAAGAAAGCTCTGACCAAGAACTCTGAGAACAAGGACAATAGTAAGAATAATGGCTACAACAGTTCATATGATAACAGTAGTGTCATGGCCTAGAATGGGTAGCAGCATACTCCTATATTGCCCTTATAATTCTAATGTGGGACCAATCATGGATTTATATCATCTTGAGCAGATTATGCTTGAGAAACCTATATTTGAATGGTAGCTTGTGTTTTAAATTTTTTTTTAAATGCTTCATATGTGGATTAGCTAATTGCCTAATTTTTAGATACTTCATTTGTTAGTTAGACTATAGCTATCTTATCTACTTATTTTGATCAGTTCTGGAAGTGCTAATGTAAACTAACATGCTTTAATCCAATAGTTTAGACGCGTAAAGTCACGACTGCTCTTAATGGCTAATGATCCTTCCCGTGCTAATCAATTCAATCACTAAACTAAAAATATCATGATTTATAGTTTGATGGTTAAAACAGGAGTAAGTAATTACTTGAAAAAACCAAAGATAAGGTTAAAGACAATGCAACTCTTGCCTGTAATGATTTACTTTTTCAATTAATGATTAAGAATCTATGATCATGATTAGTAAACACAAGCTATGCACCTGGACATGTTAATTTCTAAAACTTTCTAAGATTCTTTTTACAGTAAGAACCATCTCCCATCATAAAAGAGTTGGCCGTCTGTCAGATTCAACTATGTACCGTCAATCTTCACATACATCAGCTGCAAAACTTGAAGTCAGATGCCCATAAAAAAGCTGGTTGCACATTTCCCCCTTACTCTCACCGAATTCCCAAGCTCCTGGATCATTTCAGTTAGAAAGCCAAATATAAAAGGAATCCTTTTTCTTTTTGCAATGGGGGATTCAACAATCAAATGTGTGAGTTAAACACCAAAAGTAGCATCAGTGGTACATACCTCCTAGCACTTAACAGACTATGGCAGCCACCATTCCCATGATGAATTTTCTTTGCCCCGAAAGTAAAAGCCTTCTCCTGCATCATTTATGTCAGCTAGGTGATGAAATTTATCATACATTGTGTATCACTAAATAATAGAAATAAATTAAACACACCAAGAACCAAGATGTGAAAGAACAGGCTGATGAATGGGGCTCGACAAAATTCATGTTCTTCAGAGTTCAGACACTTCAATATACTTAAATATATATTACCTCTTGGTTCGGACGAAAAGAATTTAATATATTTTCTTTTGAATCCTTGCCCTAAGAAACAAATGACTCAATACAATGCTAAGAGAAATGAAAAATAATCCAAAGAGTATTACATGTAGTTCAAAATTATAGAGGTTAAACCTTTCTGCACATCCTGGATTGTTGAGGCAGTTGGAAATGAGGTCCATTATTAGGTTGGCCTTCCGATGTCAGAGATAACTAACATTCAAGAAAGAAGAATGATTGAGAAGTGTGGAAACTGAGTACCTTTATGATGCAGAAACACAATCTGCACCGTAGGGCACTAGAATTTATTCAAGAAATTGCATCAGGAAAATAAGGTAGCTAAATGAAAGAATAAGTTCACCTTGCTAAATAGTTCAATAGGAGGGTTATGCTGAATCCCCTTTTCGGTGTGTAGATCAAATTCCTGTAAGATTTGTAGCAATATGATCAATAATATTTTCTGTCTGAAATATAATAGGAAGATAAATCCTATGAAACAATATGCCTCACCATTGGCACTGTTGTTTCCTCCTTGTTGGTCTGTACAACACCAGCATGCTCTTTACTAGATAGTATCTGTATTCAAACATTTTGTAACTAAATATAGCAGATAAAATAAACAACAGGGGAGTAAAAGTATTAACTAAGGCTTAAGCATATTTTTCATCCTTGCATGAATACCAAATTTTGCTATTAGTCAATGTAAAATTTCTTGTTTGTCTGTGATCCTTGAATTGTCAAAAGAAGGAGAAACACTAATGCGATGTGATTGTCCAACTTAGATGCCATGTTACTTAACTAATCTTTCATGTGGTACGATACGGCCAAGCACTTGGGGAAACCTTCCCTCCCTTAAAAGTTAGCCATCATGAGGGAGAACCAAGTCACTTAAGTACTCTATCGAACATCACATATTACTTGATGTGGGGATTGGACACCCCATAGTACCCAAGTCCCTATCAGAATACCTTTCTAGAATAGAACATAGCGGCATTAATAAGTCTAAGATTGAATGTAAACTAGTATGAATGAGATGACAATGCAAGCTTTGTTACATTTTTCATTGAAGTCTAAGATTGTATAAACAATTTTAAATGGAGAAAACACGGCTAAATAAGAAATATTAAAATTATAACTCATCCATAATTGGAACTATTCAAAATGCATTGTTATTAATATTCCATGCTATTTTACCAAAATTTGTAAGCGATGTCTCATTACCTTCTTATGAAGAGGCTGAGCTTTAAAAATATGAGTAAAACCCAATCCATCATGCTTTGGGGCACCCATGGCAGTAGGCCTACAGAAACACACTGTATTTAGTACCACAGTTTCAATATTGTGGAAGTTAGGATGAGTTTTTATGATGGCATCTGTTACCTTATGGCATCCTTGATTCTATGTTCAAGAGCAGAAACAGAAGTATGTTTGTCCCAACCCTGCAACCAGAGAACTTTGGTTGCTTAAAAACTATTCATATCTATCATGTAACAGGAAAGTAACCATAAAATATAAATCAATCATAAAAAGTAATATCTCTCCTATATAAACTTAAACTATATATACAAACATGAATGGCATGCTACTGCTTAAAATTCTATGAACTAAATTGACCTTTTCAGAATCATTGCAGTGAAGTGAAGATGAGGTAGCAGATGTGTGTTGCATGGCTCTCTCCAAAGTCTTCAAGTGAAACTCCTGAGAAGTTGACATAGAAAACCTGAGCTTCAATATTATTTAAGCTGAAAAAACTGTTGTTCTGATTAACTGTAAGCTTGGCTCTTTTCCTTTTTATAACAATGAAATTCTGATAAACATAGATGCGGATAGCAAGAATAAAAAATCTCAATTCTTACTTGAAATTCTGGCAAGCGAGGAGTGCTCCTTTTGGGAAGCGGCAATGAAGGAGCATCGAGAATCTAGATTACGAACATAATTAGAGAACATGATGGCAATATGCACCAAAATTAACCAAACAATAGCAATTATATCCAGCATGTACTAACCCTTCTATTTAATGGACGCGCTTTGAACCTGGGGGCAGCCACGGTTGTGTGCTCTGCCTCTTCAATTTTGGGTCTGGTAAGCACAAATATTTCTCAATGTCTAATGTCTATTAAAAAATTTCATGAAAATTTAACATTAAAATTCCAGTGAAACACTCAACATCCAAAACCACAAACCTTATCCTTTGTGCTCTGTGTGCTGTTTTAAGGTCGGGCTCTCTTGGAATAGTAAGTTTCAGCTTGGAACAAGCAGAGTTTTGTTCAACAGTGACACGCTGCAAGAACAAGTGAATGAATAAAGTGGATCAGGCAAACCTCTTTCACACCCTATGAAAAACAAGTCCCTCTCCCTAAAAGATAGGAATTACTCTTGCTCTTCCAATTTAACGTTTAGGTACTCAATAGATATTCCCTTAATCATTGAAAATTTTCCGCTGAACAACAGTCTCGTATTAGGAAAACAAAAAATAATATATTTTTTTACTTCATATGAGTAAAGTACTTGACAACTTTATCCAATCTACTTTTGCCAAGGCAAGATTTAAGAAATATGAATTAGGATTCATACCCTCATAGGTGTCTTGTGCACAAAATCAGTTTGCTGCTTCACATCAGTAACCTGTCACAGAGATGATAGAGTAAGCATTTCAAATCCCCTGTCTAAAATAAATATGATGCAATATTACCTAAGCCCCACTTAAATTCCCGGTCCATGGTCAAGTGCTTCCACAGAACTGCAGAAACATGGGGAACTAAAATATAATTCCACCTATGTATTTCGGGATGAAAACAACACGACACATTTTGCCAATCCATGATATTCTGATCAGGCCTAACAAGAAATAACCTGATCGAAGGGGGTCTCCTAACCCATATATGTGGGTGAGATATTCATAATTTTAATTATTTGTAACTTTTTTATTACTTAAAAGTTACAGCTACAACTTACCCTTTCAATTTAAGTTTTTAAGTCTATCTTCTACTTCTAAAAATATTACACTTTTTTTATTGTGATCAAACGTCATTTCTCCCTTAGTAATGTCCTAAAATTAAAGGAGAGAAAACAATCATTGCAGTTATTGAGGGAAATGCCAAATTATATGATATATTTGCCAAATTTATGAACTAGATTCTTTTCTTTTTTTTATTGAAGAAAGTTTAGGTGAGTTGACTTTCAGGGGCTCACCAGGGTTAAGGCAGACTTCAGATTTCACAGAGCACTTGCAAGGGTAATTACATATTACCCACCAAAGAGATCCTAACATTGGCAGCAGAAGTTGAACCCACTACTATCTTGCGGGGATATGAGCCAACTCCTTACCGATTGAACCATTCTTTGTTGGCAAACTATACTCTTTTGACCGCTGCTATGTGAATTTCATGATATTTAGCATATACTTCAGATCAACCCAGTTCATTCTTTCACAAATTTAATCTTAATTAGACCTCTACAATCATCATACATTTTCTTCGGGCCTATGGTCTGGTTTAGGTCTAGAGAATTAGTCCGGTAAAAAATTAGGGGCTGGTGAGGGACAAACAAAACCCATTATAGCTAACCGCACTAACACCCCTAAATGTTACACAATGTTATGCATTATTTAAAAGGAATTTACAAGAAAATGCACAAAATTTTACTGCATTAAACAGCCAACTTTGCGATCAATCTCAAATATACGCCTCAAGCAGACAAATATAAATGCAGTTTCTTTAAGTATTATAAATTCAGAGGAGGAAGAATAGAAAACTTTGCATACCTTGCACAAATGACCACCCTCTAATTTTTGCCGTTTGGCAGATTGATTTTCTACTCCAGTGGAGCTAGATAAATTCATTTCATTCTGAGTTAGTAGCTTCCGATATCTGAGAATTCAAGAGTTGACGGTATAACATTATGCCGGTTTTTTCAGCACCAGGAAAAAATTGAAGGAACAAATGTAGTAATGCTTAAAGAAATATATGACTTCAAAAAGAATTAAGAATAAAATACACAAACATGTTACCAAGCACTTAAACTAATACACCTGATTGAGCAAACAGAGATACTGTGGCAGAATGCATTAACATGGAAGATTTCAAAAGAAAAATGGATATATAGTGGACTCTACTACCACATGCACCCTACCTCAGGGGCTGCAAAAAAAATGTAATGTCTATTTAACACAGAAAAAAGAATAAGTTGTTCAAATAATCACCTTGAACCAACAAGTTTAGCCGGACGATTTTTCCTAGCCAATTGAGTAGCTGTAGGTTTCATTAATGTTGAACCCTTCGGCACAGCTGGTTTAAAATTAGAATTCAAACTGTTACCGGTTGCTTTGTTGCCAGAGGTATGTCCTAGAAAAGACAGAAATACATGTTAGGCAAAAGGGAATCATTCAAGTGCATCTACTTTAACACCTTAAGCTTTTGGAAAATTAGTTTTTGACATGATTTAAATTTAATCCTTGCCACCAACATAATTCATAACCAAATTAAATTTCAGTACAACGCAAAGTGAACTAATACATGCTACCTAACTTAAACTTTTGGGAGAGTCAATCCTTGGTGTCATGGAACTCTGGTTCATATAAAAAAATGACCATGGTACAAGAAACAATTGCAATATGAGCACCTTTAACTGTAAATTGAGTTTAAAGAAAGGTACTGATTGTGGTAAAGTTGTAGCTGTGAAACTACAAATTGATGATTGGATTCACATAAGGATGGTAAGATGTTAAGTCGCTAAACAAATCTACCATCCTCTGGTTAGAATATAGATCATCGTGTTAGACTAATTTCTCATAGGCAATTGCAGTGGCCTCGTCGCATAGCATAGTTTCATAAAATTCCAGCTATCAAGCAAGATATCTTTCAACCGAACGCATCCAATCTAACAATTATAAACTAGAAGTCACCATCAACAAGCCAAGACCACGGTATTTCTAATTAAACCCTAAAATAATACTGAAAGTATTTCTGAAATCATCAAAGGTTAAGACAGCTGTATTAGGATATAAGCCCATTACACAACAAATTTCCCCAATTTACTGCGTCAGTTATTTTGCTCATTTGGACCAATTACAACCAGTTATTGGCATTTATACTGAAAACAAAATCACTAATGCAGTTATTTACAAGGACTTGAACGAAACCATTGAGTTGGATAACTAAATTAAAACATTAAGCTAAGACTTGTGCAGAATGCAGATCCAAAGCAGGTATATTTTATCACCAAAAACGTGGAAACATTCAACACACAGTCCATATAACTAATCACATGACTAAAGCACCAACAGAGGGGACCCTACCAGACCCAGAAAAGAAGTGATTTCCAATTTCCATCTTAAATGCAGTTTTAAAACACTAACAAAAACAAACAGAAGGTGCATTACAAAAACAATGATATAATAAGTCATTATATACTCAAAATATATTAAATATGGTCCCAGAAATAGTTGGACCATATCAATCTAGTCCCACACATTATCAGTGTTCCAAAATGATTCATTTAATAGCAAATTTGAAATTAAGTGAATAATGTCAGAATGTATTTAATAGCAAATCAATAGAGATGAACAAATTTGATTAACATTTTGCTATTTTAGGGATTGATTTCAAATATTGATAATGCAGATTATATAACACTAGATAACTCCTCCAATTTCAACTAGCAAATTGGATATTTACCATCAATCCACAGTTGATTACAACGCCGAATCAGTGAACTACAGTGATAATGCAGGTGACATTACAGGACAAAAGAGTAAATTCAACAAAACAAGGAAACATCATACCATTAACAATGTCGGAAATTTCATTCTCAGAAGGAACAGTAGGACCAAGTCCTTTATCATCCACAGTACTCATACAATCAACATTCCTAGATTTCCTTGAGTCGTTAACATCGTCTAAGTCAAATTCCTCTCTCACCGCTAACTTCGCCACAAAAGCTGAAACAAGAGAAACGGTGTTTCAATTTTCAACAAATAAAACAAAAAAAGAACAATCCAAGAAACGAAGATGATAATGAGAAAGAAAAGAAGAAAACTAACGAGACGGAGGGTAGTTTGGGGCATTCTGAAACCAAAGTTCAGCTTGATGAGCTTCAACGGCAGTTTCTGGTCGATTGAAATCGAAGAAACGAGCTGCGTCGAATTCGTAATCGAGATCAATTTCATGAGCAACGTAAACGTGCTCTATTTCAGCGTCTTCGTCTTCCTCCATCGTCATTGCCACCGTCACCGTCATCGTCGTAACTCGTTAACTCTTTTTTTTTTCAATCTATGATGATGATGATTCTAAATACTGTGTCAGTGAGTGGGTAAGGTGAGTTATAATAAAGCGGGTCGTGATGACCCGATTCTGACCCGAGTAATGAATTGAATGAAGACCAGTTTGATAGAGACTTTTGCTGCTGACTACTCTGAGTGTTAAGTGACTACTGAGCGAGTTCATTTAAAACCGCAAATTTTGATTTGTTTATTTTATTTTATTTTATTTGCACCGTTACCAACTAAACCGATGAGAAAGAAACTTAAAATGCGAAATTCTACCCGCTAGACTAGTTGAAAAATACATAGAAGTAGGGAACAGAAGGAGAGGGCAAATAGTTTTTTTATTATAACTATTTTGTTTTTATATTGCGCCGGTGCCTCTAATTTGTATTTGTACCTATAGAAAGTCACAAACACGATGTTTGTGTTCATAAACGGGCAAGGATCCAAAATTTGAAAATATACTATAAGAAGTTTTTATAGGACCAATTTATGGTTACCTGTGCTTGAAATTTGAAAAGAGCGTAGGGTGACATTTTAGTGGTAGTACTTTATTAATTTCAAATGCAGGAATGGAAGATTTTGACAATTCCATTTGTTTTGTCTATGATGTGTCACTGTTGGTGGTGGGGCATGGGGTGACATTGTTTCATAAGTACTCTTTTATTTTGTCAACACTTTTTCAAATTTTTTATTTCATGTTTCATCCCTTACACAAAAATAATATTTTATTTTTAATTTTTTCCCTCACAATAATTGATTCAATGATTTTGTTAGTGATAATCACATATTTGGTGATGAATAATGATACTGACATTGGTGTTTTGTTCGATAGTAGGGATGTATATGTAAATACCGATAGTAGGGATGTATATGCAAATATTTCGATAATCAAATTAGTAATATTTGTAAGTATAAGATTTATGTTTAGAATAATGTATATTTGAATCTAATTTGTAGTTTGCTTTTTACAGAGGAGTTTTAAGATTTTGAAATTCTAAAACCTTATACTCATGACACTTGTCGCATGAGACAAATGTTAGAGATCATGTCGAGTATTATTTGTCGGTCTCTTAAGACTTGTCACCTTTGATTAAGTGTACTTCTAAGACAATATTGTTTCAAGCTTTTAAGGTGCTAGAATCTTCCTTGAGAACAGGTGCATCGATGGGCTAACATTCTAATCTATCTCGCAAATCCTTATGTGTTTAGCAAGTCTCGATCTAGTATGATGATAGGCTATGGTCATTATAATATACTAAAGTTTTGAACAATTTTTCAAGCATGGAGGTCTTTAATTGTCTCATGGGACCGTTGTATGGATTCAATAGCCCTAGGTATAAGGACATATCATCGAGTAATGTAGCTTTCAAATTTAGTGCAGTGATGTTTAATGAATTGGGTGTTGGTCAGTATCGAAACAATAGTTCACTGAGATGTGGCTTGTTTTAATGTTCTTATGACATACTCATTTATCTGCAGTAGTGAGTGCTACAATGATCCTTGATTGAGTTTTAACTAGGTAACTTCTATAAATGGATTCTTATTATCTAGTTAGGGATTCAAAATTTATTGGCGTTCTCTTCAAGAAGTGATAGCCCTTTAAATGGTACATCCCCTAGTAGATAGTTGTGGGGTTGGGAGATGCTTTGATTCTTTTGGGTTGGTTGGAGATGTTCTCTTGGGGATAAAGTAACTATTATTGCCCAAACTAGTGATAATGGGGATTGTTGGCTTAGAAACCTTAATTCTTCTTTCAAATACACATATGGTTGATGTATATGACCCTCAAAAGAGTTTGAATATGGCTTATGATATTGGGGTTGAGTACACTTCTTATTTGGTGATGATAACATACCTTTTACACTTCGCATTCCCTTTTTGTGCCACATAGTTGTTAGCTATATGTCTAGAGGTCATATCTTGAGGCACACATTTAATGGTCTTTGAAGATGTTGAGGTGTGATTATTACATTGTAGGAATGAAACTTTTGATATTTGTATGTAGTGATCATATATTGGCCCTTCGATGACCCTTTGAGTTCTCACGTGTTGGGCGTTGGATTTGGCCTATTGGTCTTATCAATATTGATAATTTAAACTAACTTTATGAACTTACCTGCCTCATAAGTTTTTCTTTTGAGAAACTTTTTGTCTTTTCAAAATTCTTGTTATTTTTTATAGTTTTGGTAAATTTTATGGCTCAACAATACTCTTCTCCATATCCATGTGAAGTTTAAATCGATATCCCTAACTTTTTCCAATAAATTATACTCTAGAACCATCGATTTCGACTTATACAACTCCTTTCGGCTTAACGCGTCTACTACCTTATTTCCCTTTTTGGGTGGTACTTTAATTCAAATTTGTAATCTTTCATGAAGTACATCCATCTCCCTTGTCATATATTAAGCTTCTTCTAATTGAATAAATACTTCAAACTCTTGAGGTTTTTGAACATCTCAAAACATACATGCCTTCTTACCTTTAGTGCAAAAATGATGGTGCTTAGCTCCAAGCTATAGTCGCATAGTTCTTTTCATGTGACTCCAACTGTTTGGAAGTATAGGCTACCACTTACCCATTATTCATTAAGATGCATCACATGCCCTTCTTTGAAGTGTCATAATAAACCTCATATTTCTAAGAGGGCTTTGGAATGATCAACAATGGTGTCATTGTTAATTTTCTTTTTAGTTTTTGAAAACTCTACTCACGTTCGCCATCCCACCAGAATTGAATTCCTTTGCGCGTCAATTAGGTAAATAATAGTTCTAACTAAGAGAATGTTATAATGAACCTCGTGTAATCATTGGTGAGTTCTAAGAAGTTATTAAACTCTTAGGTGTTCTTGTGCCTTCCCTAGTTCAACATTGCCTCCACTTTCAAAGGATCGATGGTTACTCATCCTTGTGAAATTACATGCCCGAGGAACTTCATTCCACACATAAAAAACTCACACTTACTAAACTTTGCAAAAAGCTTATTCTTTTAGAGGACTAACTGTTCAACCCTAAAGTGTTCTTCATGGTCCTGTGGAGTCTGGGGTAAATTAGGATGACATCAATGAATACCGCCACAAATCTAATGATACATGGTTAGAACATAAGATGCTTATATTCCATGAAAATGACTGGGGCATTTGTCACACCAAATGGATTTACTAAAAACTCTCAATGTCCATATCGGATCTTATAGACGGTCTTTGTTAATTCTCAATTTTTTCCAGATCTGGTGGCGTCCTAAGCATAGGTCAATCTTAAAGAGTATTATGGTGTTTGACATGTGACTTCATACACAAGAGAGGGTAAATTTTGGAGGTTTGAAATATATTCATTAAAAACAATATCATTTGGAAAATGAGAGTTTGAAAACATTTTTAAAACAAACGAGTAAATCTGCAACGGAAAAATAAATAGATGGAAAACCAACGGAAAGACAATAAAGTCAAATAGATAAGGGAGAGAGAAAGATATTAGATATTTATACATGTTGGTCCTAAATTAACATACTTATGTCCTTAAGAATTCTTCTTAATATTATCCACTAATATTGAGAGGTTTGAATGGGATTTGCACACAAACCTCATTTTACAAGGAAATGAAGTTTAAAGGTTAAATTTCAGCCAAACAACGAATAGAGTTTAGAGTGAAAATCCTTCAAACAAAATAGAGATTGTTCACTGGCTGATCTTGAACCAAGATGGAGTTTTACATTAGTTATACTTCGAGTTAGAGTTTTATGTTCGTTATCCTCTAAATCATACCAGAGTTTTACACTAACTTACCTCTGAACCGATATGAGATTTTATAGGGGCTGTCTCGAACCAACTAATCTTTTACACCAGGTTAAGCTCATGAACCAATATGAGATTGTACACAAGCTAATCTCGAACCAGCACAACTTTTACACCAGGATTAGCTCAGGAACCATTGCGGAGATTTGTATGGCTAATCTTCACAAACTGAATGAAGTCTTCCTAAGATAATCCCTCAAACCAAAAAAGAGTTTTTACTGGTTTAGCTTGCAACCAAACAACTTCTAATAGAAGAATATTTCACTTAAGCATTGATACATTTTTGGGGTTATACCCTAATTTCCCCCTATGACGTTTAGGCACTTTGCACTCATTTTGAATAGTTGCATCTCAATTTCATTCATAATTTTCTACTCCAATATTGATCCATTGCATAACAAAGAGAAAGAGACATTTTATTCCAAATTAAACCTTTGTTCTTTGGTCTCATATGATTGTAACTTGTTGCAAGTGTTGAAAAGATTGTGACCCAAAGAACATCATGTTTCTTTTTATCAAGATCATTCCTTTTCTTTTTTATCTTAGTTGCTTATTTCAATTTGAATTCAGCAAGGCCAGGATAAAATTTGGATTTTTTATGAGAATGTTAACAAGGATTGAGATTAATGGTTCTATGAGATGTTGGATCGAACTCTAGTATGGTCGAAGGGTAGCTTCTGGTTCGACAGAAATTAAGCACTAGGTCGAAGTATGTTCGCATGCTATTGCCGGAGTAATGTGTGTTGTAGTCGAAGTTTGTTCTAACATGCATTAGTCAATATTTCTAGGGTTGTTAGTATGTTTAATTGGGCCTTGCTTGCAAGCCCAATTGTTTAAGTTAGTTTGTGCCATAAGTTAGCTTGTAATGGGTAATTGTTAGAAAGCCCATTAGGTTAGTGTGATATTTTTCTTATAAATAGGATGCTAGTTTCTCAATCTTGGCATAAGGAAAAATAGGAAGATAAAATCCTAATTTTAAGAGGAAGAGGTTATTTTGTTATTCTTGTATATTAGTAATCTTATTCTAAGAGTAAGTAAAGAATAGCAGGTTATAACCAATCCTTGTTGTTCCTTGTTGTTTTACATTGTTTTCTTTGTTAACCCTAATCCTTGTGTGTTTTTTTATCATAAAGAAATTGTTTATACTTTGTTTTAAGATATCTGATTCACAACAAATT